GCCCCCTGCACGTGTGTGTGTGTGTGTGGGGGGGGGCTTTTTGTTATTATCGTGATTGATTTTCTTTGCTACAGGGTGCACATTCTTGCCGGGGGTGGTGAGGTAGAGAGAGAGCAAGCGAGCGAGAAAGAGAGAGCGAGAGCTCACTGCCCGGGGAGATGGCCACACCGCAATCCCATCTCCATTCTCCTCTCGAGATTTTGGCCGCGCGCGCGCACACACACAACACACACACACACACACACATCTGGTGTGTTTTTCAAGCTGCTGGGTTCAGGACTCAAACTGGGCAGTTGGCCACGTGGGATCCAGTCGCCCTAACCACCACACCACTGGCTGCCTCACTGTTCTCTTACCTTGTTCTCTTCCATTCTCCCTGAATCATGCGTCTGCAATTCATAGAACCACTTTTACTCATCTCCAGAGTCAGAAAACCACTCAAAATAAAAACGGCAAGTTTGTCTGTCTAGTGCACAACAAACGCTCCAGCAGCCAAGCGGGTTTGCTCCGTAATCCAGGATCTGGGAGTCCTTGGGAGCTGAAGGATGAGCCATGTGTGAAACACTCATCTCTGCTTTGGGACCAGCAGTTGGCGTAATGGCTATGTCTCTGGATTCCCATGTAGCCAACCACGGTTTGAGTCCTGGACCCGGTGGCTTAAACTTACACCGGGTGTGTGTGCATGCATGCCCAAGATCCTGAGAGGAGAATGGAGAAGGAATTGCAGTGTGGCCATCCCCCCAGGGGGTGATTTCTTGCCTTCTATCTCTGTCTCTGTCTTTCTGGCAAGTTCATGTGCCCTATAGCAAAAACCTCTCAAAAAAAAAAAAAAAAAAAAAGACTCATCTCTGCTTCGAAACAGCTGAGCACCTGTGCACACTACACTTCCTGTACATGGATGAACTTTAAAGACAGGCTTGGTTGGGGCTGGCAGGTGGTATGGTGATTAAAGTTCTGGACTCCTACATGGCTGACAGGGACACGAATCCTGGACCTGGCAGCTTGCTTTCTCACTTTTCTTTTCTCTCTCTGGTCAAATTAGAAAAAATAATAATGATAAAAATTAAATTTAAATTTACTTAATTAAAGTTAAATACACACTTTAGTTTAAAAGGAAAGGCTGGGAAAATCATTCCTGTTTTAATTCAGCAGAGAATTAGCATAAAGAATTTAGTCTCCTATTGCTAATGGGGGAAAAAAAAGGAAGTTTTAGAAGAGTATGAATAAGATTCTAGTTGGACAGTCTAAGAAAAAGACATATTCTGTGTTTTCTCCGTGCACAGGTGTGCATGATTACAGGTGCACCGAACACTTCTGAGAAGAGCCATGGGAGTGTTCAGAGTGGCCATTGCTGGATGGGAATGAGGGCTCTGGGCCTGCTGACTCCCCTGTCCAGCCTTCTGTACTGGCTACAGTTTTAAAATCTGAAGACTGTCTTGGGAAAATGAAAACTGGGCCAGCCTGTGGTGTGGTGGCTAAGGCGGCTGACTACATTGCTGACTACATGGTTTGAGTCCTGGACCCTGTGGTTTGAAACACGCTGGGTACACGTGTGTGCCCAAAATCCCCAAAGAGGGGACAGATGGAAGAGAAGGGACTGTGGCATGACCGTGCCCCGGGGGACGCTTTCTCACTTTCTGTCTCTGTCTTTCCGGTGAGCTACCACACCCTATAACAAAAATCTCTCTTAATGAGTGCACACAGCCTCTGACAAAGTTTTTACAAAAGAAGCAAGGGGCAGACAGGTGGCGTGGTGGTTAAGGTGCAGGACTCCCATGCGGCCGACTGTGGTTTGAGTCCCAGACCCAGCGTCTTGAAATTCACACTGGGCATGTGTGTGTGTATGCCCAAACTCCCCAGAGGAGAATGGAGAAGGGACTGCAGTGTGGCCATCCCCCCTGAGGGGTGTGATTTCTCACTTTCTGTCTCTGTCTCTCCAGTCAGCAGTTGCACCCTATACCAAAAATCTCTCTCTCAAAAAAAAAAAAAAAAAGAATTAGAAGAAAAGAAACAAAACAGTGAAAACTATGAACAGCAGCACTGAGACCTGCGGGGCAGCACCACTGAGGACCGGGTAATTCCTCTGTTACTGGGCACAACCGCCCCGGGCTCCATCAGCGCGGCCGTTTCTTGGTTAATTGAGCAGAGACCTGGAAACGCTGAGTCATGTCCCCCAGATGCAGAGCTAAAAGGTGGCAGAGACTCAAGCCCACGTCTGTCTGATCCCAAGGTCCAAACTACAGAAACCACTCACGAGTTTCACCCTGTGGCCGGCGGTGGAAGAGATGTTCCAGGTGCACTCCCTCAGTCTGGGGTACTTGTCGGGCCAGTCGGGGCTCGCCAGGGTCCCCTCCGCGCTGCTGATTCTGTGCACACAGCCGGCTGCGCATGGGGGGCACAGAGAGGGCATTTGCTTCTGGGCAGCCACGGAGGCATTCCAGGGGAGCCTCCCGCCCCCTCCTAGTGTCAGGGTCATTCTCAGTGTGGGGCGGGGTCCGCCAGCAGGGGTTCGAGGCCTCATTTGCACTGCTGACCTCTTTCCAGCGGCCCAGGATCCGGCTGGCTTCCTTGCTAAGGCTACTGCATTGTGGGTCTCAGTGCGAACTGGGCAGTTAGTTCTGGGCTAAGAGCACAGGCCCTGGGGCCAGGCGGACCTCAATTCCAGTCTTGGTTTTCCCACCTACACTTTGTGGGACCTTGCGCACGTGGGCAAGCCCTAGTGTTCATCCGCATCTGTAAGGCGTGCTGACTCATAGGGCGGAAGTGGGTTAATCGAGGCAGTGCCAGGTTAAAAAAGGCCCAGCCAAGGCTCAGTTCACACTGGCTACCCAAGATCTCCGTCACTCGGTGACCAACAATTTGGGTGCCCGCTAGAATTGCCTTCCTCTGTGCGGAGTGCTGGGGAAGCATTTCCACGCATCCTTACCTAGTCCTGCCCCTTTCCGAACAAGGAAGCAGGGGCACAGGGGGTGGAGCATTGCTCCAAGGAACCTGGCTGGAAGACCTGTGTCGTACCCCTGGGATGGCTCCTCCTCTCCCAGCCCCACCCCTCAGGACGCACAGGCACACGGAAGGGGGCGTGGCCCAGCCCAGCCTCACCCTCTTTGCAGTCCCGCGCGTTCTCGTGCAGCCGGTAGCCGGTCCTGCACCGGCACAGGTAGCTCCCGAGCGTGTTCACGCACTCGTGCTGGCAGCCGCCATTGTCCTTGGCGCACTCGTCCTTGTCTGGGGAGATCAACAGGCTCTGCTAGGAGGAACCTCCAACTTGAGAAAGGCCACTCGTGGCTCAAAACCCATGCCCCAAAACGGCCTTCTCCAGGGAGCCCTCCTGCCTGCCCCTCCTTCGTTGGGGTTATCTCCTTACTGGGGCAGGAGGGCTTTGACTCAGATTTGGTGGGCTTTCCTGGGCCTCTGTATGTGTGAAATTCTCATTGCTCCTGAAGCACTTTGTGTGTGTGCTAAGAGGGACAAAGGGACTCCGGAGAGAGCTACAGAGCAGCACTTGGGGTCTTCAAGTCTAAGTTGGAGTTTTCTATTCCAGGGAGAGTGAACACTGTGGGAGGTCGGAATGAGAAGAGAAGGGGGTGTGGGCTGCTGGCCCAGGGAGGCAGAGGGGGGATTACTGGATCAGAGTACAGAGCGTGTGCAGAGGAGTTGGCTCTGGCAGGGCAGGTGGGCCCAGATGGGAAAGGTGGGCCCAGGCAGGCCAGGTGGGCCCAGGCGGGGCAGGTGTGCATAGTCAGGACAGGTGGGCGCAGGCAGGCCAGGTGTGCACAGGACAGGTGGGCCCAGGCAGGCCAGATGGGGCCAGATGGGCCCAGGCGGGCCAGGTGTGCATAGTCAGGTCAGGTGGGCCTAGGCAGGGCAGGTGGGCATAGGAGCACTCACCACCTCTGCTAGGGGAAGAAGATGGCTCCGGCTACACCAGGTGGCCCAGGCAGGCCAGCATGGACACCGGGCTAAGGAGAGCAGGCCTTCCTATGGCCGCCCTGCTGACCTGAGGGCTCACGGCCGTTGACTTGAGAAGTGGGGTTCAATGTGCCACCACTGTGGACTGAAGTGTCCCCCCAACATTCAAGGAGGTATTTTGGGGAGCCACCTTGACTAGGAAGAGGCAAGAACGGGCCCTTTCCTTGAGCCTCCAGAGGGTGCATGGCCCTGCTGACACCTTGGCTCTGGCTCTGGCCCCAGAACCGTAAGAGGATAAGACTGTGTGGATTTGAGCCATTGGTCAGTCGTAATGTGTTACGGGAGCTCTAGGAAACTCAGATGTCCCCAACTAAATGCCCCAGGCCCAGGCCTGCCACCGCCATGGTGACATGCTGGAAGGAGATGGGCCAGGCGGGGAGGGGTGGCCAGGGACCCGAGCCAGCGCCTCCCCTCCCAACCGCACACCTGAGAAGAAGTGGGCCCGGAAGCCGCGTTTGGAGACCGTGTTGTCGGACTTGAACTCCACACGCAGGTTGTTGCTCTGGGAGGTGAGGACCTCGGGGGTCTCGGAGCCGCAGAACCTGCCGTGCAGTCTGGCGTCGGGGGACAGGCCGCTGCGCACCTCCACGAAGTCATACTTACAGACCTGCAAGGGAGCGTGGGGAGCGCCTGGGCCACACGCCCACCCAGTCCCAGCTGGGCCCCTTCTGAGCCCTACCCTGCCAGGTGGCCACTCGGGCTCAGCCAGGAACAGGAGAGGGTCCCCCACGTCCCCCATGCTGGTTATTAGAATAAGCCATGGGGGGCTTTGGGGGAGGCCATGGGGGACCCCTGGCTTCTAGCTGCAGCTCAGTGGCGGCGCCACTGCCCTCCCAACCCCTCTCAGCCCTGCTTTTACTTATCCGATGCACTGGGCCGCCACAGACTTGGCCCGACCCACGGCCCTGTTACTAGAAGCCAGAGAGGAGAGCGAGGGCAGAGCAAGAAGTGGGCGGGGAGGGAGGGTCTGCCAACCGCTGACACAGCCCCACTCTATGCTAGGTCCTCGGAGAAGTCATGGCGCATTTTTCTGGTTTTCTATGCGAAAAGGCTTCATGACTTTCCCGATGACCCAGTATCTGCACACACAAACCGGAGTTCAGGGAGGGAGGCCGTTGCCTAAAGTCGCACAGCTCGGTAGCAGTGGAGCCGGGACAGCCCACGCGGCCTGCTGTAGCCATGACTGCTGGGAAA